AAGCTATACAAAGAAATACTGTCTCAAACAAAACAGAACAAACAATTATCAAACAGTAGTACCATTAAAAAGATAACATATTAAGGCCAATTTGGATCTATCTCCAGAAAAATAAAGTAAAATAAATATGTAATTAAAATCTGTAATTTGAAGGGCTAAGCAGTGAAACGTTCTGGCTGCTTTTGCTGAGGACCTGAGTTCAATTCCCAGCACCCACATGGTGGTTCAAAACTGCCTATAACTCCAATGCCCTCTTTTGGCTTTTGTGGACACCAGGCATAGAAGTGGTACACAAGACATATGTAAGTAATACAACCATACATATAAAATAAAAATATTTTTTTAAAAAAATGTAATTTATAATTAATTTTATTTGATGGATTGGAGAAAAGATGAAACAGAATCTCAGAAGATGCAAAAAACATATGACAAAATGGGAAAGCCTCCCCTAACATGACAAGTAGCCTACAAACTTCCCACAAACGCTACTGTTAACAGCTAATCCCTTTCTTTGAAGTTGGAAATGAGTATGTGCACTACTGTAACCACTTCTAATGAGCAATCGTAACCTCAATTGAACACACATTTAAAAGTATGCCAGAACATGAAAACACACACAATAAATTGAAAAGGGAAAAAACCCTAAACATTACAATTGCAAATGATAAAAAAAGATGGAGTTACAAAATATGAGAAAAAAAGTACTATTTATAACAGCAACCAATTTCAATTCTCACAAACTGATTGATTTCATTAAGCCCCAAAGGGTTTTTCAAGACTGATTCTGAAAGGTCAAAGGTCCAGGAACAGGTGAGACTCAAGAGTTTCCTGGGCAGGATTACTGAAGGGCTAAGAATGCAGTTCAATGGGCCAGCAAGCACAAGGCCCTGGGCTGAATCACAGTACCACTTAACAAATACTGATATGACTCTATCAACGTCCAAAAAACAAACCAAAACAAACACACCAGATTTCAGGTAAAGCTACAGTGGTGATAACTAAGAAAGAGTAGGTATCAATACAGATAAAGATGAGGTGACAAAAAGACAAGCCAGAAACAGATCCATACACAGAAACACTCAGCAGGCAAGTGAGATGCCACACCTCTGGTAAACAGAAGTCAGATTCAATATATAGGATAGAGAAGGTGAGCCACACTGGACAAAATGAATATGAGTCACTAGCTCACATCACACACAAAAACTGACTACAGGTGGATTATGAATTTAAATGAGAAATTCATCATTTAAAACTGTCTAAAAAGAAACACAGTGGACATCTTAGTAAGTCCAGAGCAGGGGACATTTCCATTAGATTATGTTAAAATTAAGAATTGTGTTGTATGATGTAGTTTAGTGGTAGAAAACTTGTGTCACATGCTCTGAGTTTTTTCAATGCACATTTAATAAAAAGTGCTACCAGTTTGTCAGCTTTAAAAGACAATTCAGAATTCTTTAAAACTAGGTGAAAAAACAAAGCCATGTTTTTCACACAAGGAAACACCTGATGCTATATGAAGATTCTCAATCTCATTAATAAATGCAAATTTAAAACCACAATGATGCACCATGTCATACTACTGGCATATATAAAGAAATCTAAGATAACAAGTACTGAACAGGTTGCAGGTTGCCTATAACTCTCATATAAAGCTAATCTAGGTATGTAAATTGACAAACTATTAACTAAAACACAAGTTGGTACAAGCACTTCAGAACCAATTTGAAATCATTTCATAAAGTTGAATATTCATACCCCTAAAAGCCAGCAGTTCCACTCCTAGAGATGCTGGGTACTCCAACCTATTCACAAAGCAATAAAAATGTGTTTGAAACTTCTGTACTTTCCATGAGCTACTAATGATGTCTAAAAGAGTTCAGCATTGCAAAGGATAAATTTCTAGAGTATCATAAAGACATTTTAAAGTAAAACTATGATTCTTCCAAATATATAACTAGGTCAGCAGGTTGGCTCAGTGGGTAGGGGTGCTTGCCACCAAGCCTGACAACCAGAGCCCAATACCCCATCCACGAGTCCTCCAAGTGGGCTCCCTACATGTGCCATGGCACATATACTCACACAAGTAAATAGGAGTCAAATCGTTGTAGGTATTATAGCTAGTTTCATCACACAATTGAGTTGAATAAAAGTAATTATAAACACTAATAATTAACAGAAAAAACAAATGATACCATTTCCTAAATAAGTGGACAGAGGAAGTGCTGGAATTAAAAGAGGCCTTTCCAGCATTGTACACAGCATTTTAAACTATTCTTTTGCTTTCCTACGTCCAGCTATACCATAGTTCTTCCAAGTGGGTGTGCTGGTTACATTTCTTATGGGAAAACAGAACAGTCAAATGCCCACCAACAGAAACACAAGTAAATTGCATTATATTCACCCATCATTACACAAGCAGTAAAGAATTAAAGGCTTACATCTCTATGAGGTATTAGTTACTTAGAAATACAGCATTTAGTGAAAGCAAATTTCGGAAGACTGTACCCAGAATAATTAATGTGTTTTACTCAAACATAGATGCCATACACACAATTCAATGTTAAATGATACACAAAAATCTGATTTAAAATGTTTAAAATACAAGAATAACATGAATTCAGGATAATCACCTCTGAAAGTGAACATATTCAATACTGGCTAGGTTGATTTTTGGTTCCACTCGTAAGTGTTCATTTGTTTTATGTCACAACTTGTAAATAAATGTTACATGAATTCTGAATATATCAAATACTACATCCAAGAGGAAAAGATTTAAAGAAAAACATCATACCTTTAAAATGCTTTTAATTCAATCAGTTCACTTGCTACGTGAGAGGTACATATAACATACCATGAGATCTTATCTTTACATCAACCACAGCAACATTAGATAACATAACTGTTTATTGCAATTAATGTTATGAGGACCAAACTCAATGAAGACCAAACCAATCAGCTGTAAGAGATTAACCCATTTGCTGTCACATGGCTAGACAAAACCCAGTCTGTAAGCAAATTTAGCAGAAAGCTGAAGTCATAAAGAAGACGGTCAGTAAAGAGAGGAAAAAACCAGTTTGTTAGCAAGCATGTGAGGAAATGGGTGTTCTTGATACTAGTGACCTGTTAAAACTGGTAGAACCACTTTGAGAGCTACTATCATATCTGGTTAAGTGGAAGATGTATATATTCTATTACCCAGCAAAATTATGCTAAGGGTACTTCCTAGAGAAATTCCAAAAGTGTGCACAGTAAACAGGTACAGAGATATTTATTGCAGGACTGTTTTAAAGAGTAAAGACTATAAACAATTCCAAAGTCCGTCAAAAGGAGTATAAAAATAAATTACCATACCATATTCATACAATGCAAGGCTATACCAACAATTATAATAATTCAAAGAGAGCACAATTATTTGATTTACTCATATATAACTCTCAAAATGTGATGCTGAGCGAAAAAGCAAGTTGCAAAAAGACACAATTTTGTATCACTTTAGTTAAAAACCAATACTATGTATTGTTTATATAGTCACCATTACCAAATTATAAATTACGCACGGAAATGATACACGCAAACCTGAACACAGTGGCTATCTCTAGGTAAGGAGGGGGTCAAACTCTCAGCATCTCCAAAAATTTTTTTAACCTTTTTTGTTTGTTTGTTTTTTGTTTTGTTTTGGAGAATCTGAAGTAAATTTGGCAATAAATAAGTAAATAATAAACAAAATGGCCTGGTTTGGTTAGATCTACTTGTGTTTAACCTCTAAGTATTCCAGAAATTAAAAGAGAAAAAAGGAAAATTAGGCCAACAAAAAGGAAACTGAGCAGGAGAAAGAGAATCCGCAGCCCCTGAGCGCAAAGCACAAACCCCTGACAAGCACAGTAGTGGCAACTGAATCCCTAGGGGAGTTTCACCTTATAACAAACACATTTTCCTTAAAATAAATTACAAATTTCTTGAAATAAGTGTTCTAACTAGACCTGTGGTTCTGAGAAAACTGCCCCGGAGAGAGCAGTAAAACCTGTATGAGTTCAACCCTGGTTCCCTGAACTCTGTTTCCTCGCCAGTAATCCAGAGCTTTATATGGCTGCTATAAAACACCCTGCAATAACCAGTTTTAGCCATCGCCTGGTGAAAGTCATAAGCACATACGGTGGAAAGAATTTGCAAACTGAAGGACGTCTGGAAACTACAAGCTTCTGGAAAAGGTATCCTGCAGTGGTACGGACACACCCTCAGCTTCATTTTGGTCCTTTGTCCCCCTAGTCTGGCCCCTCCCCACTAGGGGATAGCGGCCCAGGCCTTAGTGACGTCGCTAGCACTCCGGAGCAGCAGCCCTGCGCAGGCGTAGGAAAAGGCTGCAGGTGGGGTGGGGGAGCAGCTCTGCATCCCTCCCAGGCACTCCCAGAAATGGGGGGGGGGAGGGGAGACGCGCGCACAAACACAGATCAGGGGCCCCGCGCGCGCGCTCAAGAACCCAACCCCGCGCACGCCGCAGGCCCCCTCCCCTGCGCAGCGCACCTTTGGGGGACCCGCGAGAACGCACGCGCGCGCCCGCACGCCACTGCAGACTGCCGCAGTGGCGGGCGCGCGCTGAGGAGGGGGCGCGCACACCACAGGGAAGGCAGTCGCAAAGGTGGAGGGGGAATCATCCTCAGGATGAGGACGCCCACGCCTTCGCAGGGAAGGGCGCGCATCCCAGGGAAGGGCGAGCATAGGAACAAAGCGGGCCAGCTGCAGACCTCCCAAGGCGCGTCCCCGAGCGCTCCACACGCGGCAGCCGACACCTGGCCGGGGATGTCACCCGCGTGCCAAGCGATGCACACACAAAAGCCCCCTCCTACCGTTAAGGACGCCCGAGGAACTCCGGACAAAGGGAACACACCCACTGGGGCAAGGGCGGCCACACCCCCTCAGCGCGCGGGCGCTCGGCGAGACGCGCGGCCACGCGCACACCCACACTCACCACACACCCACGGAGGGAGGTGTGGAGCGCCCCGATGCCCGGGCATCTCAGCTGCGGCGGGACGCGCAGACGCTTCCGTGAGCCCCGCCGCGCGCAGGGTCTGCACTCACCCGGGCCTGCAGCCCGCGAGCCTCCGACGCGAGCTGCCGACGCCTCCGGCCCAATACGTCAACCAGACCCGGAGAGCGAGCTCTCAGCGGCTCCGGAGGCGGGCGGGTCACGTGACTTGGCGGTGCGCATGCGCAGTCGCCACGCCGCCCGCTCGGCTCGGCGGGGTGGGTGGTGAGATCGCGGTAGCCCCCGCGCTGCGGTCGCGGTGCGCCTGCGCCAGGCGGCGGGGGCGCCTGCCAGCCCCTGCTTTTCCTCAGGTTTTTTATTTTTTTTCCCTCTCCGCCCCCACTGCGGGTGTCTGGGCCGCGCCTGCGCGATAGACAGTGCGGAGGGGCTGAGGGGTGGGGACGGGTGGGCGTTGGTGCCCGAAGGACTCTAGGTCCAGGACCTCCGGTTTTCTCTGATCCTCACGTAGGCGGGGACAGGGCCCTTCATGAGAGGGCAGGACTCGGGACCTCGGTCGGGCCCAGGCCCCTTCCTAGCCTCAGAGGATCCGAGGTGCGCATTTCCCCCCGCAGCGCGCGCTCCCGCCGCCCCCTCAGCTGCAGAGGCGCGCGAACGCGAAGGGGCCCTTGTTTGGTGCGGGCGCGCTCGAGCATCCGCAATGGCTGTCCGCAGCAAGGGATGAGATTATGTAACAGACCAATGGTGAAGGGAGGAGGGGATGTCTGACCACTGTTGTGTTCCTTTTCCACAGATTGTCTAAAGCCACGGGGAAGATGGTGGAAAATTCACCGTCGCCATTGCCAGAAAGAGCGATTTATGGCTTTGTTCTTTTCCTAAGCTCACAGTTTGGCTTCAGTAAGTACTGGAATGAAGAATGGCCAGGGCCTTTAATGGTATTCGAGGACCAGGAAATAATACGTTTGTCCTTAAAACTTACACACATGAATTGTTGATTCTATCTACCTGTGTCGTGTAAGGAGTCCTTGAAGGGTACCGTTTGTTTGCTCCATTTATATATCCAGTACTAGATTAAATCTCCAATATTTATTTAGCAAAAGGCTTGATGCTAATGTGAATAAAACCTGGTCCCAACCTTTGAAGTCATGGTCTTGTGGAGACACATAGTACCTACAGTTCAGCGAGCATGATGAGAGCCCTGGAAGAGCCTTGCAAGGTTTAGAAATCGTAGTTAGCTTCCTCCAGGCCACTCGCTGGCCATTATATCACAATAAGTCAGGAAGAACCATGGGGAGAGTCCGTGAATGAAGGCCTGTGAAGGTTTGGAAGTGAGGCGTTTATAGCTCCAAGGTAGCATGCTGGAGCTGAAGAGTGAAGATAATGGGCCAGAGAAGTCAGGTATAAGATTGTACCCTTAGCATCCTGGATCTGCATTGATCCCCATAATATTCCATTTTGTAGATGAGGCCACTGAGGCTTACCAAAAACAAAAGCAAGAAAAACCCCAAAAAACAGAAAAAAAAAAACCCAAAACCCCTAATATGATCAACTCAAGAAGCAGGACCGAAGTCCCTCCTCAAAAAGTTTGGAAGGTAGGCAATCAAATGGTAGATAATTGAATGCCCACAATCCAACCTTCTGGTACTTGATAGAATGTCTATATGGCAGCGTCCTTCCCAGTTCTTAAGTGAAAAGTACTAGCTTTGCTGGAGTGGAGTGTGTGGAATGAAGAAGCTACAGTTACTGGCTCTTTTGTGGAATCATTGTTTGGCCTGAGAGGTTTTTGTTTTGCATGAAGTGAACCTGTGAAGTAGGTACTGCCTCACTTCCTCAGCTTAAAGATGGGAATACTGAATTTAAGTAACTTGATCAAAGTTAGTAAGCAACAGGACTGGAATTAGAACAGGTGTTGTTGAAGTAATTATTTAAAATGGCCACTGGTCAAATCGACTTTCTAAGCTGCAGCAGCTCTGCCTAGCTCAGCCACCATGTTCTGCGGCCAGAGGCCATGTGCGTGCCACAGCTAGAAACGGCCAGCCAGAAACACCAGCCCTGCTATACCCATGAGACGCCAAAGTGGGAGATGGCTCTGCCAGTCTTCCATGCTGTCTCCGAAAGGCTGGACATTGCCCAGACCATCCTGCCATCCACGAGGGTCCAGTAGGAATGAGACTCTAATACTTAAAGATTATCCAAAGGCTTTATATGTTAGGTAATGTTCAATAACAATATGTCCATACAATTAGAGGTGTTTCCCAATTAGCTAACCTAAATATAAGTTGTTACCCAGGACTGCTCTCCATACCTGCATGACTCTTCATCCTCCTACATCTCTGTTCTCTCTAGCTCCTCCTCTTACTCCTCTTACTCCTTCTCTTCCTCTCCTTATTCCTTCCACGTTAGCCCTCCTACAAGGTGTACTGGCAGGCTTCACTCTACTGAAGTCCTCTGACTCTTGTATTAACTTGGGTGATTTATACAAAGAAGCTGCTTAATTGGTATTAGCTGCCATTTATTTTTGTAGATTTCTATTCAAAGAGGAGTTTAAGGATTAGAAACTATACAAGCATATGAGATACAACCAAAAACTCATTAAAGACATTATTGAGCACTTACTATGTACCAGGCAGTGCTACAGGCCAGGGAAAGGCAAAAGAGCCGAGCCCTGCTGCCTTCATTTGAACTTTCTGCATAGTTGGAGACGGCAGATAAGTAAAACATATCCAGGAAGCAAAACTGTGGGGAAGGAGATTAAGGAGCAGGAGAAGCCCTCCTCATGTGCTGCTGTGTGCTGTCTTTTAATACTACAGCTTATCACGCAGAAGGAAAAAGATCTATTTAACCATCTTTGTTCAGCACCAGAAGCATACAGAAAGCACAACCCATCTCTTCAGGAGTTACTGTATTCCAGTCTTGACATACAAAGCTCTGTAACGCTTCATTCTTAAGAGAAAAAAACAAACAAACAAACAAACCTATCACTGCTAATGTAGCCTGAAACCTGTCTTCACCACTTCCCTTGTACAGTGAGTCCTGTCTCGTGTATAAAATATACATGTATGTCTCAGGACTGTTTTGAGGATTAAAGGAGTTAGTGCATGTAGAAAAGTTCAGAACCCATCTATTGTTACTACACAGAGACAGCAGAAAAGGAGACCACAAAGACTGGGTGTTGGTAGAAAGAAGATTGTATGTGAACAGTCAGAACCAGAGGGGACAAGTTTCTTTTGAACTAACTAAATGCAATTACGTCTTCCCTGTGGAGAAATACTGAGCATGTAGAATGCAAAAGCAAATTCTAACAATAAGTTGCTAAGAAATAATATGTCCATAGACTTTTTATTAATCATTTTATTTGTTTACATTTCAAATGATATCCCCCTTCCCGGTTACCCCTCTACAAACCTTCCATCCCCCGCCTCCCCTTTGCCTCTATGAGGGTGCTCCTTGACCCACCCACTCACCTATTCCCTCCTTACCGCTCTAGCATCCCCCTACACTGGGGCATCAAGCCTCCACAGGACCAAGGGCCTCTCTTCCCATTGATGTCAGATAAGGCCATCCTCTGCTGGATATGTATCTGGAGCCATGGATCTCTTCATATATACTCTTTAGCTGGTGGTTTAGTCTCTGGGAGCTCTGGGTGATATCCATAGACTTTTTAAAGTACAGTGTAAGAGCTGAGACACTAAAAATGTGCTAATATGGTAATGATGGTGTTACAAGAGTGGTACAAATAAGGAGCTACAGATCCTGAGTTCTGAGACAGTTCTGAGACAGTGAAGCATGCCTTTGGGGAGCGTTTTTGTTGCATCTGAACCTTATAGACTGGATTGTGCCTCACTGACATGTCTTCTCTCCTCCCTTACTCTCTTTACCCTGCAGTACTTTATCTTGTGTGGGCTTTCGTTCCTGAATCTTGGTTAAACTCCTTAGGCTTAACTTACTGGCCTCAAAAGTAAGTTTAATATTTCTTCAATGGGGGTAAACTGATACTGTTTTGAAGTACTCTTCTCTAAAACCCAAGCCTCAAATCATTATTGCTTTAAAAATCCACGAGTATCTGTGTTGAAATTAAAGTTTGCTTTTATTTTTTGTGCTGGGGGTGGGAGGGTAGTGGAGGTGTTTCACGTGTGTGTGGCCACATTGTGTGTGTAGGTGAACATATTTGCATGTGCATGTGACATCAAAAATTGATGTCAGGAGTCTTTCTTGGGGGCAAGTTCTCGACATTGAACCCAGAGTTCTATAGTACAGGTAGTCTGACTAGCCAGCTCACTCCTTAAATACAGAAGAAAAGAAGATACTTGAAAGAAGTGGAGATAATGTCACCTACAGAGGGGGAAAGGGTTTACTCATCTAAGACGAGAAGGAATCCTGAATGGTGTGCTGGCCAAGGGAATATTTTTTTTTAATTACCATTGAAAAGTTATAAGCATGGTAATGAAAATGTTATCTAGAAAGTTGACTGTTGAGACAGTGGAGCAGAAAGCAGAGATAGGAAACAGAGAAATGTATAATGGTGCAAAAATCTACATGGAAAACAGTAAGGAGGAAATGATTTAACAAAACCTGGCAACATAGCACTTAGTGAGCTTAATTGTATTGAGAGGAAAATAGAGCAGCATATAAGCGTTTGATTCTGGAGTATTGATAGATACTGGGAAAACAGTAGACAGAAATGTATGATTTCAGAAAAAAAACATAAGAAAACATAATACACTAAGGTTCTCAGTTGCAAACACTGCTGATATAGCCAGTTGTTTTTAACTGCCGACATAATAAAAGTGAAGCATATGCAGAAAGTGTGAGGAAGAAGTAAATACCTCATTTTCATATTAGAACATCTACAGAAAATGCCTGAAGCTGATGAAAATCAAGAAATAACGTAGTCATGTTATATGGGAACGAGGATGTACATACCAGAAGAAACAGCTCAGATAGGAGAGGACTTGTTAGGGCAGAATAAGACTCTAGGGTTGGGATGGCCTGGCTGAGACAGGTGTCTGCGGCTGTTCACTGGCCCCTTGTAGCACTGTCTATTACATGCATACATCAGCTACTTTAATAATAATCTAGATTGTTGGAGTGTGTTTTGTGACTGACTCTTGAGAATTATGACTCCTTGACAAGGTTGTCGATATGCATGAATTCTCTGCAGATACTGGGCAGTTGCCTTGCCTGTCTACCTCCTTATCACAATTGTAATTGGTTATGTGCTCTTGTTTGGAATCAACATGATGAGTACCTCTCCACTTGACTCCGTTCATACGATCACAGGTAAGTTTATATGAAATAAAATTATGAGACATAAAGGAAGGAGATAATAGGACTTATCAGAAAAGCAATCAAGAATAGGTCTCAGAAACACATTGGGAGAAAGTCATCTGTTATGTTCAACATGGCGTGATGATTAATCTTGATTGGCAGCTTGAAGGGATTTAGAGACATCATGGAAACAAATACTGAGCATTCTATGAGGTTTATCTAGATTCGGTTTATTGAGGTGGGAAGATACCTTAAATGTGGAGTGTACCATTCCATGGGCTCTAGGTCGGAATAAAAGCATTTATCCCTGTCTGCCTCCTGCTGGACACATGGTGGACACATGTGATCCTCCACCTCCTGCGCCTACTGACGTACCTTCCCCTCCGTGGTGAACTGTCTCCATACAACTAAGCCTTAAGTTGCATTTGTTAGGAACTTTGTTGCAGCATGAGATAAATAGCTAATAATAGCTCATGGTATTGCCATCATCTGCACATCAGCCGGTGAGCAGTGCAACAGGTCTCAACCAACCACAGAAATTACAGAAAGAAATTGCTTGGGTCAGCAAAGCTTTTCTTCTTTTCTTGCAGATAACTATGCTAAAAACCAACAGAGGAAAAACTACCAAGAGGATGCCATCCCAGCATTGAGAGACGTTCCCATTAGTGAAGTAAACAAAATGTTCTTCCTAGAAGCCAAAGAACTCAATACCTAAAACTGAGATGTATATACACATCCTAAAACCAAACATTTACAGTTGTGGGCTGAATAATTTTGAACATAATTATATTGACTATCCTTTTAATACCCAATTACCCAATATTGACATGCAAAAACATGAAAGTTGATTCCTTAGATATACTATAATCAACTTTGAGTAGATCTATATGTACACACAGGCATATGTTCATGGGTGTGTGAATGCACAGTGTATATACAGGTCAGAGGACAACTTAGGCTATCTCTCTTCAGGCACCCTTTGTTTGAGACAGGGTTTCCCATTGGCCTCACTTCACTACTTACGGCAGGCTAGCTGGCCCACAAGCTTCCAGGCTCTACCTGTCTGCCTCCTACCCCACCCTTACTTTTGTGTGGATGTAGAGATCTGAACTCGGGTCCTCATGCTTCTGTAGTATATACTTTACCAACTAAGCCATCTCCCAGCCTAACATAAAGCAACCAAGAAAGGATGTCTCTCAAGTTTTCTTAAATGCAGCCAGAGTTGAAAATGACTGTCTTGTCTACTTGTCCTTAGCTGAGCTGATGGTCCAGCAAGACTGTGGCTAATGCTTATGAAAGAGCAGGAAGTAGTCAGAGCTGCCACTCAGTTCACAGTGTTCTCTTGTGTAGCGGGAAGTATTTGAAAAAGCTGTGGCTGGCTCCCTGGCTGCCGCCATGTTCCGGCTCTATGGTCCCACACTAACATCTCAGAGGCGCCAGCCAGGGAGCACCGGCCTGGCTCCACAAGCCATTAGTGTGGCTGCTGTCTCTGCCAGTCAGCTCTGTGGAGTATACAGCTCTAAGGATGGCTTTTGGGCCAACTCTGTCACCCTCATAATGCTTGGCTCAACCCCAGACAATATCTGCCACTCATAGTACCCAGTAGAATGAAGACTCTTAATGCTTAAAGATTATCCAATGGATTTATATATTAGCAAATGCTCAATACACAAGACGCCCACGCAATTAGAATTGTAAACCCAGTTTCCTAATCTTGATATGAATAACTGCTAGAGACATGAGGGTAACATCTCCTGCCATCTTTCCTCCTCCTTCTCATCCTTCTTCCTTTCTCATTCCTTCCTTTTCCCAACTGCCAGCTCCACCTCCTCTTCTCTGCCCAATCACAGAGCTCCACTGCAAACACAATGGGCAGGAAAGGTTCCTGCAACACCCTCGTCCTCTCAAAGGACAGTGATGGGCCTGCAAGGTTTTCAAATAACTTGGAGTAAAACCTAGGACTCCCCTGCACATTAGCCTCAAAACCAGATTTTCATTCTGTCTCTCAAACACATTGTCTTTATGCCTCCTAAGGGGTTGTCCACAACCAGGGCTTTTCATGTTATGGGCTGTATTTCTTTTGGGGGTTACAATAAACTTTGAGGCTTCTCTTAAATAATTTTAGGACCTTCAAATATGTTGTACAAAGTGGGAGCTTCTAAAGAGCTATGTGCTTTATATATTATTTTTATGACTTGGTCATGGGGCAGTGAGATGGTTGGGTGGGTGAGGATAATTGCCAGCAAACCTACCAACCTGAATCTGACCCCCAAGAGAGAACTAACTCCCTCAAGTTGTCTTCTGGCTTTCACACATGTGCAGTGGCCTGAGTACTCATGCACACACCAAAAAATAAGCCAATCTCTTCTTGGTTATAAAGTTAATTTTGCCAGTCATCACCTTTTTACCATGTAAGTGTCTGGCCTCACACACACCCACACACATTCATGTGCATATATATATATATATATATATATATATATATATATATATATATACAAACACACACATATATGGGCACACACAAAAAAACTATGTGTTATACAGTTTAACCCAGAAGAATGTTATAATAAGCCTAGTCAAAAACAATGAAATTGAAGACAAATTATTTTTATGAGAAATACCTATATTTTCAAGCACAAAATTTGTGGCTCAAATAGAATTATCTTCAAGTTTTGCAAATCTCTTTAATGCCTGGATTATGGAAGAAGCTCAGTCTTGTGTGCGGGGCGCCGCCTCGCCGAAAAGGAGAACGCCACGCTCAGGATTCTTCTGAAAGCAGTATTGTTACAGCTCTTTTAGTGTTACAGCTCTCTTAGATGGTAGTGTTACAGCTCTCTTAGATGGTAGTGAGGCGAGGGACGCCAAGCCCCAAAAGCTTGTGGCTTATATAGCGCTTTAGGAGACGTGCCACACACTCATTGGCTCTTATGATGTCGCCAAATTAGCATACTGGTTTTCGCGCCTTGCGCAGGCGCATATTCAAGCAAGGCTCGCAAGAAGAACCAGGAAGCAGGAAACTGGCGCCATCTTGCGATGGCGGACGCGGCTCCTAACACTTGTGCCTGTGCCTTCAGTCAGTCTGTACATTAACACACATTGAGAAACTTCTGGAAAACACTTCACACTCAGAGAATGAGCATGAACTAGTAGTATCTTACTATTGTTTTGAAAATAGATGGCCGGGCGGTGGTGGTGCACGCCTTTAATCCCAGCACTTGGGAGGCAGAGGCAGGCGGATTTCTGAGTTCGAGGCCAGCCTGGTCTACAGAGTGAGTTCCAGGACAGCCAGGGCTACACAGAGAAACCCTGTCTCAAAAAAAAAAAAAAAAAAAAAAAAAAAAAAAAAAAAAAAAAAAACGAAAAAAGAAAAAGAAAATAGGTTTGGTCTCATAGACCCTCTGATATACTCTCTAGATCATGGATCTGGGGAAGGAATGAGACTGGAATAGAACACAATCTATTAGCATGCACTGTGCCTGTTTGAGCATATATTCTAGTGCAGTACCTCTCCTGGCCACTTCACATTCTGTTTTACCCTCGTATCTCAGGTACTGATGCCCCAAACAGTTCTGTGCAAGCCTTAAAGATCCATACAGGAGCCATTCATAGTTTATTCTAGAAGGAATGGGTTAGCCCCTACAGATCTATGTAAAGCCCCAAATAGGTAACTATCAGTAGATAAATACCCTCTCCCCCTTCATCCCCCAGGAGACAGTTCTCTTGTGTTCCAGCAGCTTCTCTGAAGGTCTGTGGGACTGAGTCACCGTTGCCATGGTACCAGTGCTTTCACCAGGCCTGTGCTAGCTTGTCTTCCTGCTGCTTCGCTCCATTTGCTACCCACTCCAATTTCCAATAAGCCGCCTACGCACTCTGTCAGAAGCTGGACCTTCAGCTGAGACATTTTTATTTGTGAAGATTGTGCGTCAGCTGTGTAGCTGAGATGTATGATTCATGTCCCTGCTGCATGTCAGAATTCAAGAAAAGAATTTGAAAGACAGATGTGGTAGAATATGTATATAATCCCAGCATTGAGAGAGAGAGAGACAGAGACAGAGACGTTTGAAAGAAACAGCATTTTGCATTCAGCCTAAATAATAACATAAAGTACTCCAAACAAAAACTGTCAATTATAAGCATATTATTCTAATGATTAAACCTTGTAGGAAGATTGAGATTAAGAGTCTAGCTGTAAGATAGCAGAATTCCAATGGCTTGACATGACAGATGTTTATTTTGCTGTGTGTTTTTAAGAATAACTCTGAGACAGTCATCAAATCTGAGGTGCCCATGGATGAGAAGAGCAGATGCATCCACAGCATCTCTATGGCCCATGACCAAGGACCTCAGTGCTGTAATAGCACACAAAGTTTTGAGCACTGGCAATGTAATAGAAATACACTTGGGGACCAGGAGAGTCAGGGATTCAGAGCAGTGGCCTTGCAGAAATAGTTCAGGAACAAGTGTGTACATAGACCGAGATGTATGCATAAGAATGATGATAGGGAAGTTACCATCAAATCTTTCCATACTTGCCCTTGAATCTGCAAATGTAGCATTCACATCCTTTGCTTTATGAGCCACAGTGACAGGTGACCTCATGGTCAGAGCTGGACAGCATGTCACGTTAACCATGTCATAGTCGGCCAAAGTTGTCACTTGTGACAAAGTTGTCCACCTGTGTCAGAAATCTTGTTTACATGGGCCTGCTATAGCTATGAGTCAGCCCACATCAGCTGTTACAGCTGTCCTAGGAGGCCCTTCCTTTCCCTGTGACATTGGTCTCCCATGCCAACCCTTCTAACTGTTCTGTCAATGTTCCAACAGTTGGCACATGCTTAAAGAGACTCAGACACTCAACATTATGAGAAGGACATAAACAGCTGACAGTGATGAAATTACTGTGACCAAAAGATTTGTAAAGTTGAGGCTAAAATCAGGCCTTCTTCCTTCTAAGACATGAATCTGGGGTGTCTACAGCCCTGGGGATATGGGCCAGCGTTGATGCAAGCTGAAGAAGCTGGAAGGGAACAGCCGATAGAGCAACAACTGTGCAGATCACTGGAATGATCACAGGATCAGGAGTGTATTTGTAAGATGCTACTATTTGTCATAAGACTGAGCCTCTGAAGGGAAGGTTCTAGACAAGGTACTAAGTATACCCTGGTCCTCAGAGGTGAAATAGATAGAGTGTCACGGTGATCCATTTTTTCCCCCATTTCTGACCATGTTTTGATTCCCTAATGTTCCTTCATGACAAAGATTTCAGAATCATTTGCTGTGGGGCCTCCCCCGCCCCCACCCTGGGTGCTCGCTTTATCTGAGACAATAAGACAATGCACATTTTCAGTGTGTGGCATTCATTTTCCCTGCCTCCCTGACTTTTCCATGCCCACAGGGCTCATTTGTCCACCTCTGCACTTTTCTCTAAGGACACAAGCTTAGTGCTCACTGCCCATAGGTGACCAGCAGACCACCCTTGGTCAAGTCTCCCACATGGACACTTCACTCTCTCAAGTGCTACCCAATCTCAGGATCCAGGGTTGCTGCTAGGGTCTAGAGGCCTCTGGCATCTCCATAATATTCTTTTCCACCTCCCTTTGACATAAGTCCCCATTTTAAATTTGCTACACCACAGCCCGAGCTAGAGGCCCTGTCCCTTGCAGGAGGGCGGCAGGACCTCAGTTTCCTCTGGGCATGTGAAGAGAAAGGGAAATAGTTCACCAGACTTCTGTGACGTACCTGGGCACATCAGCTCATGCCTGTATGCCAGCAGAGGCTGAGGCACAAATGTAAGTTCAAGGCTGTGTGGGCTACAAAATGAGTTGCAGTTCAGCCCAGACTACAGATGAGCCTGACAAACCAAACCAAAGATGGAGTGTGCCCTGTCTCAGCCCTCCCATTTCTGCTCACTGGCATGTGGATTTAATGCTGAATTCTAGATGCCTCCTTGGATTACGGAATGTCATAAGGAAAAGAAGCCACGCAAAGACAGAAATAAGAAAAGGCAAAACCCAAAGGCGGCCACCTGTGTGGATAAGACAGAAATTGCTGCTCTGCTATTTCAGCCACTGTTCATTTGATTTTTCTAATTACAGTCCAGACAAAGCTAAACTGACACAGTTCTCCTCATGATTCCAGACACGAAGCCCACAAACTTCCAGAAAGGCCTTAGAATTCTGTTCTCTAC